AAAAAAACTTTAGTYGCTGCAAACGATTCACGTAAAGTTAATGTAATCTGTGTGATGTAAGCCCCCTGATCAGTAAACCAATCAATGAGCAGCGGTTGATGTCAAACTGGACCTAGCAGCCTTGCTCAGATAGAACCACAAGTTATGGGGTTCCAGAAATTGGAGTGGACCTGAGTCATAAGGGTTAATGCAAACACGCCAAACCTGGGTTCAAAGTCAGGCCGACCCAAACTGAACCTTGCAGAGCAGAAAGGCCCACAGCAGGGTTATTCAACTGGTGGCTGACTTCTATCCGGCCCGCCAATGAGCGCCCCTGCTACCATATCTGTGGCCATGATGCAGCAAAGTCCCACACTGACCTTTGAAGCAGCGTCGAAGCAAACGAAACCCATGCTGAAGTCCACCGTGAGCCCCATGAGGTGGCTTTCCATGATGCAGGCGTACGTTTTACACTGCAGAGCAAACCAAAACAAAAAGCACATGAGAAGATCCTCCCAACTGTCACACCTTCAAAGAGAGATCAAGATCATTCACCTGTATTCTCTCCACCTCCAGGAAAGTGGCCATCTGAAAAGCCTTTTCCCAGATCAGCAGCTCGCCCTCCAGCTCCACACTGAAGAACATGTCTTCCCCGGTCTCCGTCTGGACGCTGAAGCAGTGTCGCCTTTTATCCAGAAGATCACTGTCCTGAGATCAGCACACAGCGACATGTTATTAACCAACACTTAACTCTAATCTGCTTTTTAAAAGCTACATTGCAATGTAAGGTCAACTTATGATTGCACTGAACCTTTATCAACCAAGTTCACAAAAAAAAAAGGTTTCCAGATAACAAACAGCAGATCTCACAATTACACTCAGAGTGACCTCAAAACCTGCAGAAAATAAGGAACAGCAGCTCTGAGTCTCTCAGTGGGAAAGCAGAGGACGGCATGCAAATATACTGTATAAGTGAGTCATGTGAGCGCAGCCCTCACATCGTCTTCGCTACTTTGTATTCTCTCTGAGTCGCTCAGCAGAAGATGCACATCTCTAAATGCTCGGGGAACTGGAATAATAATAATAAAAAAATGATACCTTTAAAATCTTGCACATGATTTCATACACGGTAAAGCTTTTCTCTGCTCTGGTCCAGTCCCACGTTGTCACCTGAAAATATCAGAAATTTATGTTTTATTTGAGGAACGTCTCCRTGGAAAGAAAAGAAAGAGAGTGGGGGAGGAGAAATGTTCCTAAAAGAGGAAATGGAGCTTTTTTTTTTAACAGGAGGCTCACCTGGAAAAAATCTGAACTAAAATTACTTCTGTTTACTGATTAATGCATGGAAGAGTTTTGGAAACGTTAAAAAAACAAGATTAATATCATTATACATGGTATATCATTGCTCCGTTACTCATTTACTTGCAGCTGATGTCCTGCCATGTGATGGAAAATATTCATCACACAGGTAACTAGTTTGGAATAAAAAAAAAGGAAAACGGAACACGCAGGCTCTTATGTTGCACCATCCACTCGCATTAGCATATTTCCATTTACATCGGCGCATTCACACCGAGTGGGCAATTTCAGTTATCTATCAATCTCTTCCCGTCTGCAGCACCATTGACAGCTTATCCCTCTCGTCATAATAACCCAAATAGCGGGCAGAATGTAAACACATTAAATGATCAGCATCAATCAAACAGAAGATCAATGCGCCGCAAATTATTATTATGAGCGAGCTGCTTCCTACTTCTCGTTTTTTTTTTCCTTCCGCTCAACAAAACATTAGCAGCGAATGAAGAATTCMCCCCTGTGGAGAAGGAAAGAGACTGCGTAACACGTGAAAGCTTACGGGAGGCGCGGTGAACTTGAAGAGCGAGGAACCTCTCAGTGCGAGGAACTTGGACGAGTACATCCGGTCCTGAACGGAGTCCTGCTCCTTCTCGTCCACCCAGCCCATGTAGATGATCTAGCAGACGGAGGCAAACCTGAATTATAAAACTTGGAAAACATTTCTGAAAACTTGGGATACAGCATTTGTTGTGAATCTTTCTCGACAATTAATCATAAATTTAAAAAAACGAGAATTAATTTATTGAACAAATTCATAAAATAAAATTAAGATGGGTTCAGTAACTTCTATGAGGTAATAAAATAACTTGTAATTAAATAATAATCGTTGTCACAATATGCACACTTGACTTATAGATTTTTTTTTCCATAAAAGATGACTTTTTTATGCTTGACCTGTTTTTATAAATTAAGGATTGGTGAAGAGAGATTTTCACTCCACCATTAACTTTAAACACTGGTGTGTTTAGATTATGCATAATTAAAGTCAAGTTTCGAATTTGACTTTTATCAATTATTAACTTTTTGAGCTAATTTTGTGCAATGCTCTGAAATCTGCTGCAAACATTTGGACCTGAAAAAGCCATTTTTGTAAACACTTAATTTTGATCCTCCTGTTTAATGAAGTCTATTCTTACTGTCTGTAATCAACTGCATATGTTTCATCATGACATGTTTGTTTGTTGCAAGTTTTATAAAAAAAATCTTAAAATGGGGGAAATTAAAGTTAAGGAATACAACAACCAGCGTCTTGAAAATGGTGTCAGCTTTAAAATCGCCGGGATTGAAACACAAACAAAACCGATTGAAGTTTTGTGTACTCCAATCACTGATGTTTTGTTTGAGTTATCTGCAGTCTGGAGGATTTTTTTTTCCGGGCCTCGGTGAAACTCTCAACAGAACATCAGGTTGTCAATCTGCTCCTGGCTCCGTGTGAATAAATCTTAAGGTGCAGCTCCTGAACGAGCCGAAACTCTCCAAACTCCGAGGATATTGTGAACCCACGCCCTCTTAGCTGCTGCTTGTCTCCTTCTCCTCCTCCACCTCCTTTCCTTCCTCCTCCTCGCGGGTAAATATAATGCCTGGGCTTTCTTCTGACAGCTTGACAGATTCATCCTGCATTCAAGTCTCCAGCTGGAAAAAAAAAACTTGCTACACCCAGGATGTCTTTTTAGTCTCCCAGCAACCAGCCACCAAACTTGGGTGAGATCTACTGTATGTGTGTGTGTTTGTGTGTGTGTGTTTGCACCATCCTTCCCTGCTACCCAGCCTCAGCAGGGAGCGCAGCACTAGGCCTGTCACGATAACAAATTTTGCTGGGCAATAAATTGTCTCAAAAATTATTGTGATAAGCGATTATACGTATTGCCTGGTGACCATTTTACAACTAATAATTATAAAAGCGTAATATGTAAGTGTAATAAATCAATAAACTTTAATTTTTAAAGAATGTTTAACAAAGTGGACTCTCAGTCTCTATCAAAAAATGCACTTGAATAAAAAAAACAAAGAACAACAAAATGTAAATTAAACACCACACACAACTAAGACAGTAAATAAACAATATTAAAGAGCAGCATGTCTTTAGAGATGAAGCAAACTACACAGCCTGGTGAGGACCCACTGTTTCTTATGGGGATTTAAGCCCAGTTCACAACCCATATAAAGTGTAGGCTAGGTTTAGGGTAAAATGGTAATAGAAAATACTGGTAAATGAATGAAAGTCAATGCAAAGTCCCCATGAGGATAGAAGAACAAATATGTCTATGTGTGTGTGTGAGTAGGGGACAGTCAGAGCGCTGCGGGGGACGAAATCAGACAGTTCGGAGTTTTCCTCATGAGTTGTTGGGACAGCTACAGGTTTTTTAGGTGTTTTGTTAAAACACAGATGGTGTGTTTAAGTTTCCTGTTATTTTTGGGAGCTACAGGTAAAGTCTTGACAAGTTTGTCGCGGGTCTGGGGGAGTTTCAGCCCCCCCCCTTCTCTCCCCGCAAATTTCAGGCTCTGCAAATGCTCCAAAACTGCAGCAGCCGTGTTCTGCTTTGAAACGTTTCTTTAGTTTGTTATTGCTACGAGCTCTCATGCTAAAGCGAGAGGTCACTCCTCCCGACACTAAGAAAACAGGAGGGGAGCAAGCAGGAAAATGAAACTTACCATCCTCATTTTTTTACCAACCTCAAAATAATTTATCGTGCAATTAATTGATTTATTGACTATTGCGACAGGCCTACGCAGCACGTCACATCAGCACCATATTTCCATAGAATCCCCTTTTTGTCGTGATGTCAGACATTTATTATAATCAGATCCCGTCTGAGCAAACATTTACTTTAACAAGACAATCTGCCCTTTAGATGACACCGCAGCTATTTCACAACTGTCAGCTCAAATGTTTTAATTTAGTTTTAAACTCATTCTCCCAATTATCATTCACACCCCAAAACTGGGTTGATGTTTAACATTTCGGATTATCTGCGAGYGAGGAATGGTTCACTCCTTTTAAAGCTGCACAAACAACAACAAACAAAAAATACATTTTTAGTGATAAAGAAACAATGTATTCAGTGTAGTATACTACAGTATAAGCAGAGCTGCAACAATAAGAAAGCAGGAAGATTATGTTTTTTGCTCCAGAATCTATTATAAACTCAGCAGAAATGCGGTGAACGCATCTCAAAACAACAGCCTCTGTACCGGCCATTCACCACATCTGATTCAACGCATTTTCAGCGATGTGTTAGTCGTGCTTTGAAATAAGCTTCACTGGGTGCAAATCCAACAAAGTGGATTTTCTCATAGATGGTAGGCCCGAAATATTTCAGTGCTTCAAACTTTAGATGTTACATCAAAGCTAAGTACCTGTTTGGTGAACACGTYTGCTTTCTGTGAACAGAATTTTGCTGAGCTGTTTGTGTCGATACCACACTGGTTCATCCTTTGATTTTAGGAGCCTTTATGGATCATTTCCATGATTCGTAGATYATTTTAGTTTGGTGGTTTAATTACGTCTTCTGATAGCTGTCGACTATTGGACTGAAAAGAGCTACAATAGCAGCCAAAGGGAAAAAAAAAACACTTCAGGCCTGTAGAAATATTAAAGATCTATTCCTCAAAACCACTTTAAAAGATTACAAGAAATCTGTGTTTGGTTATTTCTTTGTTGTAACAATGCTTCTTGGTTATAAGTCTTATACCATTGGAAAGCCTGCTAGGTTCCCTTTTAAATGGTGCCACATTTGTAAGGAACATGCATTTGTGGGATGAGCAGTAGAGCTGCAAACACTAAAAAAAACAGATAAGTTGGATTTATTTAACCAAGTTGTGTCAACTGGCTTCACTCTRCTCATTTGAGTAAACAAAGACATTTACAGATTTATTTGTGAACAACACAGTTGAGTGGAACCAGCTGACATAACTTGGTTAAGTAAATCTAACTCGTCTGTTTTTTGAGTGCATGTGGATTGCGCACATAAAAAGTGCTAAATCTTCTCTGGCATTGTGCAATAGCTTATTTTGCTGTTGTTATTGACACTTGTTGAGCTTCTGGTGCCGCCAGGTGCTGCCAATCAGGTGCCTGGTATAAAATTTATTGCTAAGAAACATAGTTGCAACAAAGAAATAATCTAGCAAGCTCAAATTTCCTTACTTTTGTGCTAAGTTTATATAAAGATATGACATATTTTAAGTTGTTTTCTAAAGATATGTTCCTAAAGTACATTAATTAACACAAAGAACATTAATATAGTTCTTAATGTTATAGTTTTTTTTCTGCAGGTGGATGTAGTTTGTTCCCAATTATTTTTATTACAATTTTGTATCTTTTTCTTTGCTCAGACCTAAACAATTTTCTTAAACAATGTTTTTACTTCAGTTGCAATAATGCTGTTCTATGTTGTACTCATTTATTTATTCATAAAACCAGATGTTAAGTACAAAACATGTACAGTATACAATAAACAGCATATTAAAAAGCTATAAAAACAAAAAATGTAAAACATTTTATTTGTCTATTCAGACTCAACTTATTTTGTAAACTGGAGTCAGATAAGCAAAGAGTTTTCAAGATTCTGGGACATATTTTAAAACTTGAGAAGTTGAGTGATTTAAACAGATTTTCACTTTGAAGGGTTTTTTTTTTAAATCGATGGTTTTGCAAGACATGCATTCAAAGCATGCAATAAATTGTCTTGTGAATTCATTTATTTGATTTAGATATTCGGTTTTAGGCAGAGGTTTGGAGYATTTAATTACCAAACTGCACTGCCGTCCTTTAGACGGAAGGCTGATGTGACGGGTGAACTGACTGAAAGCACTTAAAGTTGTTTTCTGATCATCTCCCAGTGGATGGACTTAAATGACGCAAGCACTTTCCATGTGCTGTAATAGCTGGCAACACAGGGTTGTGTCCTTACTCTGACTTTACACTCCAGCTTTAATTTACCTTTCTTAGGGATAAGGATRGAGCACACAAATTAAAACATGTTACATTTAAATGATGACTTAAAGAAGGATTAGGTGCTGAATGAAGAAATCATCTTACCTGCTGGTTTACTGGAAAATTCCGGTTAATCTTCTTCACCTGTTAAAGCAAAGAACAACAGTAACTAAGCGTCTTTTGATAAAATCAGACCATCTGACAACGTTCACGTTTGCAGGACCCCACAGAGTTTGCAAATGACAGCTTCCACACCAACGCTAACACCACGTAGACCGTTAGAGCCGCGTCATTTATTCAAAGCATGCAAATTTCAAAATGAGATAGATGGAGTCATTTCCACAAGGACCCAAGTTTTTTCTTAAAAAAAATTCCATTAAAAAAAGGCAATTCTCTCCACAGTAATAAAAGCAGCAAAACTACAGAGAGAGCAGTCAGGCTTCAAATTAAAACACTTTGTTCCGATCACAGGTATCACTCGCACCTAATTCACACACTACCATCAGCATAACTCTTTCTTTGAACCCGAGCACCAAATTAAGATGTCCGTTCTTGACACTACAAAGGCGAGAATAAACAAGCTGTGAAATGCCACCGAAGTTTGGGACAAGAGACAGAAAGCACGGTGTACTTTTTTTTTCCTTCTTCTTTTTTTCAGCGGAGAAAGCTGTGAAGGGAAAAGCCAGATATCTGTCAGGATGTGAGCTGGGTGTGAGTATTTGGGAGCAGTGACAGAAGCTCAGATTCAGCCGTGGGCTGTTCCACCAGCAGATTCATGTAGTTTTAACACATCAGCAGCGCCTCGTAGGTCCGGCTGCAAACTTTCAAAATAAATAATGCCCTGTTCGCTGTAGCTAAAAACAGATAACTTCACCTGGAACCTCTGAGTCACTTCCACAAAAAAAAAAAAATTGGTCTCAAGAAGCCTATTTCGACTAAATAGTTGAGAAATTATGACCTTGGACTTCACCAGTATTTAAAAATACACATTATCCTAAAATATACACAGAATTAATTATTTCTGCCCAGACCCAAAAAACAAAAACAAAAAACAAAGAAAACTTTTTTTGAGTGTTTAGTTTAATTTTGACAATAAAGTATAATGTTACTTTAATAATTTTTTATGAAAATCATTTTTACATGTAGATTTTTTTACAGATTTCCTTTTTGCGATGCCTAACTGATAAAGTAAATTTTAATTTATAGTCAAATATTATGTTCAAAAAGAATTATCTGATCTTTTTCCTTTGTATATTTTTGTCCGAGTTGAATATAAAAGATCCAGATGTTACAGAACTCAAACAGATATTGTGTCTGAATATTTAACATCAATACAACTTTCCCCTCATTTTAAAACATTCACTTTAAAGGGAAGTTTATATGCACAAGACATCAATGTTCTTTTACTGTGTTTTGCAAAAATATTCCTCTAAAAGTTAATCAGTTTTATACATATGCATCTGCTGATTACCATTTTAAAATCTTAAAGGGGCGRCATTATGTGCTTTTCAAGTCTATATTTCAATTTTATACTAAAATAAWGTAACTRYGTCACATTTTCAGCTTATGAAAGAGCTWTWTATTTGTAAAAATCCCCAAWACAATTTACCGTACTTCTCATCTTGACCGTTTCTAAACGCCTTGAAATAGGTCTCTGTCTCTTTAAGAAAATCCAACCACTTCAGTCACGCCCATTTCAGCACATAGSCTGCCGGAGTCGCGGAGMRGTGGGGGGCCTCTGGCATGAGGAAGTTCGGCTTAAAGATGCATCCCAGAGGTGTTTCTGGTCCCCACCTGTTGTTTTGCTCCTCAGCATGGCTGCCTAAAAATGCTGCAGGATTTCTCAAACATGCATGAATGAGTCATAGCAAGGCTTTGGGCATGTTTTTTTATGAGAGTATAACATTATGACATTATATAAAACTCAAAAAAGTTGATTTTACATGAAATTGCCCTTTTAATAAAATCCTTTCACTGCTTCATGAGATGTTTTGCGAACAGACAGACCAGGTCTCCATCTACTGTTAGTGCTCAAAGTATTAGAAATTTCCTTCAGCTTCACAGTTTCTGCAAAACACCTTGAATAACCATATCTGTGTTAGCGAACGTTGATTAGCTGTGGCGGCCATCTTTAATTAGGTTGACTTCAAAGTGTAACCAGTTGTAAACGTACATCCAATAATTAATGTCTTGGAGTTTCAAGAGATTTTGCCAACAGAAAAACAAATGCACACATGCTGTTATATTACCGCCTACCACCATGAAAGGCGGGCRACATGTTCATACACAAGAACTGGTAATGTTCAGAGGAGTATTCAGACTGTCTGGTTCGAAGCTGGTGTTTAATTATAAATTGGGAGGAACGTGTGGAGGAACGGCTGTGATGGAGTATGCGTCTACAGCAAACAGAACATGATGCAAGAGGTACAATGTGGAAACTGCTGACTAATCTTTTCCAGCACACTGAGAATTGTAAATGAGGTGCCTTGTAGTGGCTACAAACATCATGCCATTATGAATTCTGCTTTAAGACTCACATCAAAGCACGCTCAGATGTGACAAAACTGCACCGGCGCAGACGAACGGCGATCACAAGCCAGAGTTCACTGACTGGGACCGACAGACACTTAACATCGAGACTGACAAACGCCACTGAAGGAGAGCCTTAAGGATTACGACAGAATTGAATCAGCACATATTGAATCAGCACATCTGAGCTCGAGTCTCCACGGAAAGTGTTCACGCTGCGCTTAGCTGCAGACTTGTGATAAAACATTACAAAAACCACTCAAGCTCAAGGTCACATACACAAAGAAACAACTTGATACAAGCAGCCTGTACATGAAAGTAATGACTCACTATTAGTCATATTCAAGTTGAATCCTGACACCTGATTTCATTTGCTTAGCATGTTTGGAGGGAGACGGCAGGAAAAAAAATTGTCCCACAATATCTGCTGCTCTGCCATGCAGCTGACTGGTGGGAGTCGTTAGGAGCAATTGAGCAAATACTTCCTTTCATAATGTCTTTGATGATGCATTCGAATGMATCGCTAAACAAATTCAAGAAGGGTTTCATGAACCCCGAGACGGCCTCTCCAGCCACTAGACCAGAACATCACCGAGCCTTTATGGGAATTTGCAGAGCGCGGAGAGTCGGGTGCATTTTCTTCTGCCATCATCGCTCAGAGGAATGGAYGCATTTTATCTCGGCAAAGGTTAAATATTAGAAAGCAAACAGATCGTTCAAAGAAGTGACACCTYTCTACAAGCACAGCTGGACCCTATTGAAACTTTTCCTATAGAATACTTCTCTAAAGCAGGAAACAACATTTTTGTAATGCCTGCTGAAGGCGAGGGGCAGTAATGTTTATGTTAGTGTTTTTATTTTTATTTTTATCTGTACCATTAGCAGGATATCTCATGAATCACTGCACAGATTTTAATGAATTTTTCATAAAGGAATCATTGGACATATAACCATAACTGATTCACTTTTGGAGCCAGTCCAGGTCCAGATGGCTGCCAGAGTCAACTGACCTTACAAAAACACATAAAAGACAAACTCTCATACTGAGCTAAAAATCTGGTGTGGCAGTAGTTAAAAATCATGCAGAAACTGTACGTTAGATGCAACACAACCCAAAAGATATTTGATAAAAGCCCTGACATTACAGAGCATACAGCGGGTAAAATAAGTATTGAACACATCAATATTTTTCTCAGTAAATTATTACTAGAGGTGCTAATGACAAGAAATTTTCACCAGATGTCGGTAACAACCCAAGTGATCCATACATACAAAGAAATCAAACCATAAATGTCCAGAAATGAAGTTATTTGTAATAATATGGAATGGCACAGGGAAAAAGTATTGAACACACGAAGAAAGGGAGGTGTAAGCCAAGACACCAGCTGAACTC